CAGATCCTTTAGATAGCCACAAGAGGAGAGCTGGGCAGCTGTAAGAAGGGCTGAGTCTGGGGCGTTCTTTGTCTTCTATTGGCTGGGCCATGCCTGCTGAAGCCTGATTTGGACTCTCAAGTAGACAGACAGGCTAGGGTTCAGGTCCCTGTCATGCAATTCTGCCCACCACAGGGGCCAGGGAGGCCCCCAAAGTTAGAAAGGGTAGAGTGGCAGGTTTAGGACTTGTGGAAGAGTGAGGAGCTCTAGGCATCGTGGCTGGGAAGCTGGGGAGCCAGCAAGTAACTGGGAGGGGATGGGACAGTCTTTAGGCTTAGACTGCCTCTCAGGGCTGTGGCCTCGAAGGTCTGAATGGCAGCAGGAGGCTCCAGGAGCTTGAGCATGCTTGTCAGATAGCCCTAGCTTATAGACTGCCGAGCCTTTGGAAAGGCCTCAGGCTGAGATGATAGCTCAGAAGTGTGTGTGTGTGTGTGTGTGTGTGTGTGTGTGTGTGTGTGTGTGAACCTTAACTTCCCTGTGATTGGTCATTCCCTGTGATTGGTCCTTTCCCTATGATTGGTCCTTTCCTGTGATTGGTTCTTTCAGCTTGAGACACCATTGTGCAAAACCCACTTTTCTTCATCTGACTTTCGGAAGGTCTCAAGGGAGGGATGGATTTCCCTGGGGTCCGAGGGATGAGAAGGTCCCAGAGTGTTTGTGTGGAAGCCCCAGACAGCCTGAGTGGTGGTGTGACTCTGCCACCCTGTGCCCAGTGCACCCCTCCTGATCAGAGATCTGGGGCTTTTTGGAAGCCTGCTTTTTGGAAGGAGGCATTCCCCCGCCCCCACCCCAGGTAACTGGATTGGTTGGTTCTAGCCACAGTCTCCAGTCCTGTGCTTCAGGTGGCCTGGCTGTATAATGGGACAGGGGGAGGTGTTTTCCTTACAAAGACGCTTCTGTCTGGGTATGCTCACACATAGTATGACCTTCTTTCTCCTCATTGGCCCATGGCATGTGGTTCCAACAAGACAACGCCTTGCCCACCCTGGGCTGCCAGCTGTGGTGAGGCCTGTATTATTGACAGTGCCTTCTAAAGGGTGTCAGAGGTGCAGGCAGGAGCCAGCCCAGCAGGACCTGCTCTGGCAGCTCAGCATCCCGCTATGGGGAGGCTCTCCTCAGCTGCACTTTCTCCACACACATTCTCCTCCTCCATAAAGCCAAAGACTAAGTCAGTGAAGCTTCAAATTGTGGAATAAGTAAGACCAGAGATTGCTGGCCTGGGAAATTTGAAAGCAAAAACTCAAGAGAATGACCAAGAAGGAAAACATACTAAAAAATACGGCCATATAAAAGAAGACCAAATAAACATAAGCACTAAAAATGAGATGAAAGGGGTTGGTTGGCAAGAAGGGTTAAGGGAGACAAAGCAGAGTGGGGTTATGGTCATTCACCAGACATACCAGGTAGATACTGAGGAAATGGGGGAAATAAGCAATAAGTTAGTGTCATGAGAGAAAAAAAAAGTCTGGGTGCATACCCCAGGTTCCTGCATACACTCAGAATCCCATCTTGGGGGCTCAGGTCCTACCAGTGAGCAGGTTCCTTGGAGTCTATGGGTAGCACTCTTTCCTAGATGCCAGCTGACCCCTACATGGCTTGACTTGGGTCTCTGCCTTGCCTTTTTCCTGTGCACAAAAGGGAATACAGGTTGTATTCAAACCTGTAGACTTCCTTGGGCTGGCAGGGGTCTCTCTGCCCGCTGCACCCTTCTTGCAAGCCTGGGTGGACTACTACAGAAAACTCCAGCCAGATGTGCTGTGCTGAGAGGAAGGAGGAGGATGCAGGATCACAGGTGGTCTGGGCAGCAGCTCCTTAGGAGCATGGTTGGGAAGCCACCTGTGCTGGGGATGGTTGGTGGTGGCTCTGCTTGGGCAGGTGGCTCATCAGGCTTATGCCAGGGTGTCAGGGCACAGGGAGGGCAGGGTTCCTTTTCTTGGTCCAGCTACTGGCTGTAATGCAAGTGGTGGTGATGAACCAAGGAGAGATTTGTGTTTCTATAGTAAGCATCACAATGGTTGTTGCTTCCAAGTAGACACTTGTGGCTTCTCTCTTTTCCTGGACATTTCACCTGCAGCTTTGGTGGCAAACTGCTGGCTCCTGGCAGTACTTTAGTGGGCAAACCTGATGGCAGTAGCACCTTCTTTGTGTGTAAATTCTACCTCCTAGGAAGCAAGGGAGGGTTGAGCACAGGTCTTCATTGGCTCAGTACTAAATACGTTAGAATTAGCTTAACTGAAGAGCACTTCCCCAAAGGCAATTCCTGGTGTTGCCTGAGTTACAACAAGGGAGGCAGAGGTAGGCAGAACTCTGTGAATGTGAGTCCAGTCTGGTCTACATAGGAAAGCCAGGACTATATAGATTGCAGACTCTATGGAGGCACCACATCACACTTACATCTTTCCACCATGGAATCAGTCCCCACAGAAACCAAATTAAAAACAAAAACAAAGTAAAATACAACGAAACATATCAATACCTGCCCCCCCCACCCTGATTTTGAGGAAGAACTCAAGTTGTGCCTCAGAGATGACAGGGATGTGACAGGACTGAGCTCAGCTAGAAACAAAGTTCGGTGTACAAGCTCCACCCTCCCCACAAGCACCCCCACCCCAGCTGCTGATCCTAACTTCATACAGCAGAGGGAAGATCACAATTGTCCCACTTAAGAGTTCTGCTTTGGTCTCTAGTGGTGGGAGTTGCTCTAATGGCTCTAATGGCAGGGAAAGAGTGAGCAGGGTCTTTTGGTTCTGTGGATTAGTGTCAGGATGCCACCCTTCTGCCGATCACCGGGGGATGGTGAAGACTCAGTAACCCAGGAGTTTGAGGGCAAGGGGTGCCCAGCTCGGGAGGGGAGGTTTCTCCAGGCCAAAAGTTTTCAGGAGCTCCAACTTGAGATGTGACCTACAGGTCTTGAACTATAGTGATGCCATCTTCTAGATTAGAATTTGATAGTGTGTGTGTGTGTTTGTGCGTACATGTGTGCGTGCATGTGTGTGTGTGGCATTGAGCTGTCTTCTCTATATTTCGAAGGGGCTCTTGAGGCTTGCCTCACTGTAATCTCTCTACATCTACCTAGAAAAATGTACAAGGGTAATATCCGAGTGGGTGTACTCCATGCTTACTCTGCTCACACACTGCAGTGACAGAACAAGGAGATGATCAGGGGGTATTCCTGACCTGGTGGCTCTTGACTTTTGATTGGAGAGTTAAGGTGTGACCGCACGGAGTAAGTATCCATTGAACCAAACTGTTAAATGCTGAAGTTGATGAGAGTTTATTTCCCACTTCCCTACAACTTTTCAGCCAGGGAATGCTGGAACTTCACAGGGCTGAAAATTGGCGACAAGGTGATTTTGGACCAGCTGGATGGGCATTTTCCCCATCCCATCTCAGGGTCCAACTGCTTGTTGCTCAAAAAAGAGAGTTGTGTGGAACCACACTTGGCCCTGAAGCCCAGCCACCCACCTGCAGCTGTGGCCATTTTTCTTCTTGCCCACTAATCCCCCTCATCACAGAACAGGGTTCCTTGATGTTCCTGCAGCCCCAATTTCCTCTCTGTTCCGCTCAGATATCGCCTCACCGCTTCCAGGCTCCTCTTGAACAACATCCTCACCAACCTTTTTTAAAGCAGAACTTGCCAGTGACAACTCAGTGGCTGGCAGCTTGACACTCACACAAATGCACACTCCCCACACAATCCTTTCTTCTCTTCCTGTTTTGGCTCACTAGCAGCAGGGACTGCCTGCAAACCTCTCCTCTTTTGGTGGCCTTTCGAACTGTCATCTCCTCCCGGAAGCCACAGCTGCCTTTACTTTTGCCTTTACTTTCAGGCTAGGTCAGGGCCCAGGCACGAAGCTCCTCTATAGCCCTCTCCACATCCGTCTTTTTATGGCTCATGTGGGTGTCTATCTTTCCCATGGTGCTGGAAGCTCTAGACAAGGCTGCAGCTCAGTCTATCTTGGTCCCTCGAACCCAGAGCTTATCCTGGAGCCCAGTTCTGCCAGGCTCCGCTGGACCCAGTTTCTGAGGGAATCAGAATCCCGGAGGACTCAACTGTCACCCTGAAATCTTGGGTGTGTTAAGTGGAGCACAGTCCAACTAGGATCTGGGGAGAGGGTTGTGAGCCCCGGACTGCCTTCCCCTCCCAGGCTTGATCCCTCGGCAGCTTCACCCTTTATATGGTGGTAGTGGTCCACCCAGAGGCAGGGTACCAGGAGACGCCAGGAGTCCCGCTTTGCTCCCGCGCCTGGGAGCGGGCTCTCCGCCTGGACTCGCCCTAGAAGGCTTCATGCTGGGTCGCTGTCTGAGCGCGCCGGTCCGCTTGGAAGGCTCCTCACGTCCAGGCGCCGCGGTCACGGCTGCGCCGGTTTCCGGCCATGAATTGGGCTTCAGAGTCCGAGCCTCCTGCCTGACTCCCGGCGCAGTGCACCGCCCCGGGGGCGGGGGGATGGATGTCCGCCGAAGTCGGCACGGACAGCTAGGGTTCGAGCCCACCGCCCGCCCGCTAGCATCCTGGTGCCTGGCTCAGTGCCCCGGGCTTTGTGGTCTTTCTGAAGGCTGCCCGAGTCGGGGGTCCGGTTCCGAGAGCGGTTGTCCATTCCGGCCACTGCAGACTCTCTGCTGAAGTCCCCTGTCGCCAGCGAGCTCCGAGACCCCCACCTCCCCGAGGGCAGTCGGTGGCCGTGCCTCCTCCGTTTCTCCAGCGAACCCTGAGACCAGGCCCGCACCGCCAAGCCTCCGCTCGCCGCGGACAGACCAGGTCCCCACCGTGGTTCCGGCCTCGGAGCATCCCCCGGCCGGGAGCGTGGAGCACCGGGCGCCCCCTCCAAGCAACGAGCGGGCGAGCGGCGCGCGGCGAGGCTAAGGCTCCGCAGTCACGTGGTGGAGAGGAGGGCGGAGGGGAGGGAGGCGGGCGGGAGGGGAGGGGGAGCCGCCGAGGGGGAGGGGGAGGGGAGGGGGCGTCCTCCGCAGTTCGCTCCTTGCCTGGGCTCAGACACACAGCCAGCCCGGAGCCGCCGCTCGGGCCGGGCCGCCGCCGCCTCTGCCTCTGCCGCCCCCAGAGCCGCTCGAGCCGCTGGAAGCGCCGCCGCCACAGCCGCGGGCCGCCCCCGCCGCGCCGGCCTGGGCTCGGGCTGCGAGCGCCGCCGCAACCGCAACCGGAGCCGGCGCGGGAGCCCGAGAGCACTGGGCTGGGCTGGGCTGGGGCGGGCGCAGGGCGCAGGGGCGGGAGCGCGGGGGAAGACGCACGGGCGGGCTCGGCTCTCCCGGGGAGCGGCCCGGGACTGCACCGGGACCCGCGCCTCCCCGCTCCGCGCTGCCCTCGGCCTCGCCCCGGGCCCGGGCGGATGAGCCGTGCGCCCGGGGGACATGGAAGCGCTGACGCTGTGGCTTCTTCCCTGGATATGCCAGTGCGTTACGGTGCGGGCCGACTCCATCATCCACATCGGTGAGCTCGCAGGGCGGACGGGCCGAGGCTGGGCGGGGGGCTCCCAGTAGAGACGGTGATGCGCGGCGTCCAAACTTGTCGGTTCCCCGGGCCGAGGGGCTCGGCAGGCGGTGGTCCCCTGAAGGCCCGCGCCGCCCCGCGGAGGAGCTGTGCTCTCGCCGTTCGGCGCTCCTGCGGGCACCTCGCTGCTCCCCGGGGCTCCTGCCAGTGCGCGGGGCCCCGCGGCCTCTGCCGACACTTAGGGCCGCGGCTGCGGGGAACCGGGGGATAGACGCTTGTTGAGACGCGTGCCCCTGGCGGGGCCGTCGGCAGGCTGGGCCCTTCAGCACAGTCTGAGGCATTGGGGCCAGGGGCGGACAGAGCTGGGGGCTAGCTAAGTTGGCAGGGCAAGATCAGAGAGGCCAAAGCGGAGTCATGTGTGACTGTGGATGGGTGCTGTCAGCGTTCCAGTGTGTGTGCACCTGGCCCGGTGTTGGTGTCACTGTGAGAGGGCGTTGGGGTGTGTGGGGCCATCTGAGCGTGTGTTAGTGCGACTACCGCGTTCTGCCAGCCTGTTAGAGTGGACACAGTGCTTGCCTGTTTCCCTGGTGTGTGTCTGTGTAGCTCTCGGTGTGTGTGTGTGTGTGTGTGTGTGTGTGTGTGTGTGTGTGTGTGTGTGTGTGTGTGTGGTTGTGGCAACTGCAGCCCAATCCTGGACAGTTCCAGAGTTTCTGCCTGATCTAAGTCTTGGGGCTAGCGTACAGTCTGGGTGGTAGGGGTAGAGGGAAGGAGCGTGGGCCATGGGGTGGGGGGTCGCTGAGCAGAATGAGATGGATGGAGGGGAAGGAGATGAAAAGCAACCAGAGGAGGGGTAGTGGTAGGGAGTTAGGAGCAGAATGACTGGGATCTCGAGAAGTTGGACCGGGTTGGGGGGGCTGACAGCGGTCGCTTTGGGGGAGCCCCTCCGCAGTTGCCTTTCCGGAAGTTGGGAAAGACCAGCGAACAGGGACAAACTGGGGTTTGGGAGGTGTGAGTAAACGTGGCAGTAAGAGGAAGGGGCGGTGAGGAACCGAGTTCTAACACCAAGGGCTGCAGCGCTCCCCTCCGGGGCCGGGCCAGGATCCAAACCTGCTTCCCGCCCAGGAGCCAGCGTGGGTCTCGCGGTCAGCATTGCGGCTCCAGTGTAGTGAGAAATCCGGGAGCAAAGCCCTTCTACTCAGCTCTCAGCTCCAGGGCAATTACAAGGCCAAGAAATAGGACCTTGGCGACCCTTGGCGCTTGGCAAGGGTTCTGGGGGTGGAGAGCAGCAGTCCAACTGACCCCCGCGGTAAGCGCAGGTTCTGTGAAAGCGTCAGTCTGGAGGAGCTGTCCTTGCTTCTAGAAGGGCCGTTCAAGAGTGATTTCTTCTGGGACTCTGACTCTCAGTACTGCTAGATCAGAATGTTTAGGGGTTTAGGATACAGCCCCACCCCTCCGTTCATACAGGAAGAGGAAGTGATAGACGAGAAGAGGCACGAGGCCATGCAGCATCTTGACCATCCAAGATGCTGGCTATCAATGCCTTATGCATAAAGAAGAAGAAGGAAAAAAAAAAAAAAAACCCTTGGTGCAGGAAAGCCAGCTGTGGACCACCTTCTCACTTCCGAATTCAACAGGGAATGCAAAGAAAAAGGAGTCACTACTCCATTCTGGGACTGGGCTAGGGGGACAGTGTCCTGTTGGAGAACTCATGTTGATTCCTGGGATGGGGTTTGTAGGATCGTGTCAGGTGCATTTGAATGGGAGGATCTTCAGCTTGCAACATCTGTATGGGGCATGGCTAGGACATGTGATGCTTTGGTTATGAAGCACATGTGACCTGGTAGTATCAGGAAGGGTATGCATGTGTAACTCATGTCAACTGTGTGCACGTGTGCAATGTGAGGAGGGGAGTATATCCGGTTTGGTTTCTGTTGGGAAGTCTTTAAACTACTCAATCAAAGCAGAATTCTAAACTGAGACTGGTGGCTTGCGCCTTAAATCTGAGTACTTGGGAAGGCTGAGGCAGGAGGATCACCATGAGTTCAAGTCCAGCTAGGGCTACAGAAGGAGAACCTGTCTCAAAAAAGCATTGTAAACAAAAACAAATTCACAATCCGAGCTCAGTCCTCCCCCACTTTGTACTTATTGGTCCAGGCAGTGCCCTGACCCCAGGGTGGGAGTAAGGTAGGAAGGGTTCCTGTCCAGGTCTGGTCTTGACCCCTCTTCTCCCTTAGGTGCCATCTTTGAGGAGAACGCAGCCAAGGACGACAGGGTGTTCCAGTTGGCTGTATCGGACCTGAGTCTCAATGATGACATCCTGCAGAGTGAGAAGATCACTTACTCCATCAAGGTCATCGAGGCCAACAACCCGTTCCAGGCGGTGCAGGAAGGTGAGTGGCCACTGAGCCCATGCATGAGTCACTGGGCTGCAGCCAGTGAGGCTGCCTAGCAATGGGTCCAGTGAGAGTTGCTACCCAATAGGTTGTGCAGAATCTCCTAGGCTCCTGGTCGGCGGACTGCTGTGCCAGGCATGGTGGTGTGTCCTTTCAGGCCTAGCAAGGTAGGGCGGCTCCGTACTGTTAGGGCAAAAAAATTTTTTTCTCTGCGCACTGCAAGCGGGTCTCCTGGCAGGACAGTGTGGCTTCTTTCCTGCCGGGTGGATGTGCGTGCGTGCTCCACGCCGTTGAGCAGGCGTGCGGCTCAGGGCCGTCTTTGTTTCTCGCGTGTTGTGTTTGTGGGTGGGTGTGTCTTCGTGCGGTTGTCGAGTGCACCTCTTTAGAAGCCTCTCGTGGCCTGCAACACATAGGAGCTCGGCGCACGGAGCTCGCCCTACAAGCGTTCTCTGTCGCACAGCCTGGCTGGCGCGGTTGCACATCCTGTGGGGCCTCGGTGCTTCTGCCCTGCGGGACCACAGCTTGGCTTCTTTGCCTCACTCCACTGAGTGTAGAGCAGCCGGTTCCTTTGCCGGGGCCAGCGCTGCGGGCCTGAAAGGCATTGCCGCTTGGACCGGAGGTGGGCGCTGTTTGCTCAGGAAAAGAGGAGCAGGACTAGGTCTGATGGCAGGAAAATCTTAGCCTGCCTGGGCAGCAGTATTTTCCCTGCAGCTGTTTCGCTGGGACTCTGAGGCAGAGGCAACAGGTGGGCAGCCAGTGAGGCCATCACCCTTTGCTGGCTTCCTCTGGTACCCGCACTCGTGGAGTGCACTTACATATGCGCAGGCAAAGCACACATACACGTGAAATAATGGAAACTGCCGCTTTCAGCACTGGCAGATGCCGGTTGTCTGATGTCTTCGGATGCGTTAGTGACAGCTGCTCGCTCTGCCTTTCCCTCCTGCTACCTTCCCTCCACTCCTACTTGGCTGGCTGCTCTTGAAGTGTCCCTTGTCTCATGTTGTTGATTCCTGGTCGAGGCCCCGCTGTCTGCTCAACCATGTTCTTTTCCCCCTACCTCTTTGTCTTGTTCACCACAAGCAGGGCTCCACTATGGGGCCAATGCTCTGAAGTTGCCGAGGATACAAGGGTCCAGCTGGAAGTGTAGCTTGCAGGGACCTTTCCCCAGAACTGGCAGGGCGATGGGGCAGGGAGGAAGTGGGGAGATGGGGGCTCTGCTGTCAGTCTCTCTTTGGGTTTGTTGGGCCCAGGGTCTTCCTGTCACCTTGGGGTTGCATACTGTCTGCCAGTCTCTTGGTATCTTCAAGGATGAGGTGAGTCAGTGATGGATGTAGTCTGCAGCTAGTGCTGAGATCTTTGTGCCCCCTAGTTTTAGGTGCAGCACAGGAAAGAAAGGTGGTCAAGTCCTTGGTGAAGGATGCTGTAATTGTCCAAATCTCCAGTCCCAAGTGCTGATTATGGTGGTGTCGGTGGCTGGTGCCCTACATTATGAAAACGGCTAGGCTGGTGATATGATTCAGTGGTCAATGACACTCCCCTCTCCTGAAAAGGACCCTGGTTTGATTCACAGCAACCTTATAGTGGCTCAAGACTGCCCATGACTTCAGTTCCATAGGTATCTGACACCCCCTTCTGGCCTCTGCTGGTTCCCGCGCAAATGTGATGCACTTACATACGTGCGGCAAAACATTCGCACGCATGAAACAGTGAGAGCTGCTGTTCCCAGTCTTGGCAGATGTCTGTTATCATGTCTCCTGTAGTAGAGGCATGGGGGAGTCCCTGTCCTTCTTGTGTGGCCTCATCTCACCATCTGTCTCCAGATGCCCTCTGACCTCAGACTTCTTTTTGTGTGCTATCATCATGGTTCCTTGTGGTCCACATCCTACTGGAGTAGCCTGAGGAGCCTTGCTGTTGCTGTTGCTTCTGACAGCTCTCTCTCCATGGTGTAAGGCATCCTTTGCCATTTGTTGTGCCCCTGAACGAAGCACAGCATCTCTGCCAGTCACACCCCAGGGACTGAAGGTGCTGATCTTACACAGGGTTATAACCTGAGGCAGGTTGCACACACATGGCTGAACTGTCCCTGGGGAGGCCACCTTTGTTCATAGGAGCAGCTGTCACACAGCTTCAGTTGTGCCTTGTTGGAGGGAAAAGTCCTGGTATTGTGCATGTATCTGTTTTGTAAAGAGACGCCCCAGGCCTGCAGGTCAGTGTAAAGTATGTTTTTTTCCTGATGTTTTTGAGGCAGGCTTTTGCTCTGTAGCTCAGCCTTCTTGCTTCAGCCTCCTAGTGCTGGGACTATAGATGAGCCTTGCTCCATCACCACACTTGGCTTTCGTACTTGGTTTTTAACTTGTCAACCACTGGGACAACTGAAAGAACAGACAAAGCATAGCTATGTGCTGTTTGACCTTCAAGCTCCAAATGCAAATTTGCCCTGGTGATAAAGGTTCCAGCTAGGGCCCTTTGCTGGTTCAAACCTTTTTTTTTTTTTTGGCGTAACTGGGAAAATGTCTCTGTTTCCAAGGATGGCAAGTTAACAGTCTCAGAAGGATATTGGAATACTTCTGCACATCTGGAACGAGGGAGTCAGATGCTAAGGGTCAGTGGTTTCTAGGTATAGAAACATTGGACAGGTGCTGTTTCTGGGCTGATATGTCCTGGTTAAGGCTAGCATGCACTTTCAACCTTGGGAGTGGCATTGGCTGCAAGCCACCTTGTTATCTATCCTATGGCCTTGCATAGCTCCTGGGTGCCTACAAGGAAAGAGGGGAGCTATCAGTGGAGGCCTTGGGAAAGCTGAGCATTGCTTAGCAGCCTCCTCCCCTTTGCCTAATGCTTGTGGAACAAGTACTCAGCTCATAGAGTCTCCTTTCTTGCTTGTTCTATGGGGTACTGTCTGTTCCACTTGCTGGGTGGCTATCCTGAGTTTGGACACTTACTGCAGGGAATATTATTTGGAAAATGGAGAGCAAGGGCATGCTGCGACTCAGTCTTTATCACAGAGAGGACAAGTACCCAGTATGTCCCAAGAGGTCTGGGATTGGAGCGATGCTGCTTTTTAATTTAAGAGGCAGTACCACCACCCAGGGATGGGGGAATCTGATTGCTGGAGACCAAAGATGAGAGCCTGCCTCACTCATTGCATGACCTGGGGGAGTTTTGGCCCTGTGCCGAGCTTCTGTTTCTAGTTCTGTTAAAAGGGAATAATTGTAGTATATACCTCCTGGGATTATTGGGAGGATTAAATGAGATGAGACATGTATAAATTGCCTGCATAAGGCCTGAGGTTAGTGTTGGGTAAACACTAATTCCCTCCCTATTCTCTGACCCAGCTATGACTTTTTCTCAGAGTCTCTCAAGGCTGTTGATATTTTCAGCCACAAGTTTCTTAAGCTAGTGGATTCCTTGAGAGAGGACCCTAAATGACCTTTTCATTTCCAGCTTTTACTACCCCAGCCCACAGTTATAAAAGGAATGCAAGGCTACAAAGAACATGGGTTACTCTAAAATGTAAAAGAGGAAGAGGCCAATGCATGCTCATTATATAAAATGCAGAAGGTGTGGGGGACAGCAAGAAGCAGAATAATCCTCCTGAATCCCACTGCATTGTTTCCTTCTAGTCTTTTTTTCTCCCCTTGTATTTATAAATGAAGCGGGCTCTCATTCTGTTTCATGCTCTGCATTATTGACTTTTTTCTGAAACCTCCATGAACTAGTTGTATACATTACTTCTAGTGCTTGCATGTGTTTTCCAATATACACTTTTTTAAATAAAAAAGAAATGCAATCATTTATGTAGAGATATGCATCCTTAAATATTTCTGAAGAAAACAAGAAACTCTCCTTGGATGGATGTGCTTGCCCTAAGATTTCTACCTATGGTTTTCCCAGAATGGTCTTAAACAGTGTCTTTTAGGATAGTATGTAGGATATGTGCTTTATGAGGGTCTAAAATTAATGAACAACAACACGGGGCAGTTAAGGCTCCAAAATGTTGCATCTTCGATTGTTGAAGTTTGCATTAACGTGTATGAAAATATGTGTTCTACAAGACAAATCTGAAGACAGATACTAATTTGTTGACAAAGTCATCCTGGTTTTTCAGTGCCTGCTCAAGCAGAGGATTGTGCACATGAGTCTCCCTTTACAGAATTACCTTTTACTGTGAGTAAAAGATGTGAGGTTATTGGATATGCTGTAGATGTATCTGTCACATCAAGGAAGCATAAAGGTTTAAGGGAGAGCCAGAGGAAAGGAAAGCACACTAGATAACATTCTTTAGTTACCAGAAGCAAAAGAAAAAGGCGGTGAAAGGGGCTGGGGATGCAGTTGATAGAGCATGCACAGAGCCCAGGGTCCAACCCGCAGCACCACACAAACTAGGGTGTGGTACTCACACCTGTCATGTGAGTCCTTGGGAGGTAGGGGCAGGAGGATCCGAGGATTAAGCTTATCCTCAGCTACACAGTGCGTTTAATGCCAGCCTGGGCTACATGAGACCTTGTTTCAAATAGAAGAGGTGGGGGTAAGGGAGACAAACGTCAAGAGTGAGGATGTGGTGGAGTGCTCTCCTCCTATGCTATGCGTGAGAGCCTGTCCCCAATGCTTAACACCACATAGAACAACAAAGAAGCTAAGATTTCCTAAGTATAGTTTGTTATTGACAGATGAAGAGAGGTGATTAAAACGACACAGGAAGCACTAGATAGACACTTCTGAAGGCCTGGCAGGCTCACCCCATCACCTTCTTGGCGGGCACCCTGACCCTCACTTTGCCGCACTGATGGTGTATTGTTAGAGGGCTCTCTTCCCTGACCACTGCTTCCTCTTTTGCTTCCGCTCAGATTTCCAGGGTTCACTGAGGGCACATCCTGGCATCCTTGAGGGCATCTTTTTCAGGATACATTGCCAGGGGCTCTGATTGGGTGTGACATTCGTGCCATCAAAAATGTGTGTCTAGATCCACCGCCACCAATGCATCACTCAGCTGTATT